ATAATTCAAAAATGTAAAATAAAAATGTTTAATGCATCTTGTCACACAAAAAACTAAATCCAATTACTTAAATTCTACTCTTTAAGAGACATTAGCTAAAATTAAATTGAAAAAAATGTTGTTTGTTAAGGCTTCTATATTATTTCAAGTACCTCAAACAATATAATTTTATTGTATACAATAGTATCGATATAACATAAATTATTGCGGAAAACTAATAAAGCAGTTTAATGATAACCAACTAGCTTAGAAATAGTGTGAGCTTTACCTTGACAGACATCCATTGTTTAAAAAAAGTCTCAGTATTTTGAGGGAACGTGCATATGGTAATGATTATCAAATAATTTTTTTTGAAATCTAGGGAGTGAAATAAATGTTTTAATGCCAGATAACATATACAATATAAACATGGTTGCTAGATAAAAATTTCACAAAAAAAAGAATATATTAGAGGATTTTAGAGGGCTTTTAGCATTTAATTTAAAGTTTTTTTTTGCAAAACTACAATGATTTTAATAAAAATAGAGAAATTTTGAGGATTTTTTAAAATAGGTTTAACATCCATGTTTCTATATATTTGGGGTTTGGACAGGGATCAATAATGTTATTTTGTATGTTAGATGACATAAATTTGCTAATATTAATTCTTTACAATCCAATGCTCATTTTAGACATTACCTAGTTTTGAAAACCAGAATTTTTGAACAAACTACCATCAAGAAATGAACAAATGAAAAAGAGGAGTTAAAGAGGACATTCAATCACATTTTTAACTTTTTAAAGAGATTTTTAGAGGATTTTAGAGGAGCTATTGCCACCCTGTGTGAAGTATGAATTTTCAAGTTAATAAGGGGAATCATTCAAAAAACATGTTGATGATTTTCTTACAGCTGAAGTTACCAAATACAGCAAAGAAAAATGTATTAGGGAATGAAGTAGAAACATACGCATGCTTATTTAATTGAATTATGTTACAAGTCCATTATCTTGAGGATTTTACAAGTCCATTTTCTTAAGGTGCAGTAAACTCATAAACACAATCTCTTAAACTCATAAACATACTAAACTCACAAACACAATATCAATTAAATAAACACAGTCTTTGAAAACATGAGCGCTGTTGTTTACTTGTTCCGATAAAAAAAACAGTGCCACATAGCTCTATGTGAACTACCAGAACGTAAACAATGCTATAGAGGTCCAACAGAAGACAAGAATACATAACTTGTAGGTGCACCTACACAAACATAAATATAATGACTTCCAAAAACATAAACACAAGCAAACATATATTGACTCACATCAGCACAAAAATAGAAAGCATGACTTACCGGTATTTCAACACCACTGCAGAGTTCCAACAGAAGACAAGTACACATATAAAGAATTGTAGGTGTGCCAACACCACTCCAGATGACTAAACAGAACAAAAACACAAATATATTAAATTGAAATTGAATTGAAAATTGCATCAAAAATGGCATTACCAAAATTTTTGCTTTTTTCTAACTTCGCTCTCCACAAACCCATCAGCTTTTCCTTTAATCACAACACATTTCATCCTCCAGTCTTTGACCAACTAAATATCATATTCATCTTCAAATCCATAATAAATTACCTCAAGCTCACATTCCTCATCAAATTCATTTTTATCTAAAACACTTACTAATAGCCCTGAATACCATTTATCTTTGCCTTCTTTATTTACTGTCTTATGTTTAATTCTTTTTCCTAAAAACTTTGGAAGGCCCTTCCTTTGATGCACCTGTTCCTATTATTTTAAATTTCTATTGTCACTCTCTAATCTAAATTTTTTTTACTATCAACATCTCTCTTTTTTCTGTCTGATTACTGAAAATTTTATTGTTATTGCTTATTGTACTGGAGCGTCTTAAAAATTTAAAAATTGATAGCAGGTTGGTTTTTAATGCCTCTAATGCCTCTAAATTTTTTATATTTTTCACCTTGGCCTTTTTCGCCTAATTGTAACCACTTTTCTGGAAATTTTTGCTGTAATACTTTTTTTTGAAATTTAATTTGTCTTTGCAACTTTATTACAACTTCATTTTTAGTAGTTTTCAGTCTATTTTCTGTTGTTAAAAACTCTCTTTCTTTGCTTGCCTTTTATTCCTTTCTTTTCTTTTCTAGGTTAAGCTTATCCATCATCAAATTTGTACCGCAATATATTTGCTTTCTTTTCTTTGTACTTTCTCATATACTCTTTTCTATTTTGCTAGTATAACTAGCCTTTCAATTTCTTCCTATGATTTTACATCTAACTAATCAGCTGTTTTGTTGTTATTAAACATGATGACACCAGCTGCAGCTACTGTTGTCATGTTTTTTACCTGCGGTCATAGGAAGCAAAGTCTTTATATTTTCATATATAGGAAGCAAAGTACCTTCATATTTTTTACCTGCGGTCATAGGAAGCAAAGTCACATTCAGACACAATGTTAGTATGAGGGCAGTTTTAGTTTCTTCAAGCACATTAACATCCGGATTGAAATATTTTCCTCCAAGCAAATGGTGTCTTAAAATTAAAAGTAAACCTAAATAAAAGTAACTCAAAACAAAGAAAATAAGGGATGGATCATAAAAAAATTACTTTCAATAAATAAAAGTATTAAAATACAAAAAGTTTTTACACATTTCCATTTTTGTTCACTTTTGAAGTTGAACGTTTTTTGCTTTGAAAGAAACAGTTTAAAGAAGACCGATTTGTAATCACAATAGTGTATTGAATAGATAGATTATAACCTGTAATCAAACTTACAGTTACAGATAAACAATCCAGAGAATCCTTTAATAAAATTTAAATTATCAATTTTTAATTTATAAAAATTTTAAAAATTTTCAAGTTTATTTTTAGAATAAGAACAATGATGTGAATAAGTAATTTTTTAATTTTGAAAACAAATAAAAAAGATGGAAAGAACAAAACCAAAATTTTTAAACCATTTAAAGCAGTTATATTTTCACAAAATGAACCGTCCTATTTAGCTACTACTTAAGTTTCTAATCAAGTGAAAAGAACGCATCATCAATTGATGATGCATTCTTTTTGATGCGTTTTCTTTTTGAAATTTGATCAAATTTCAAAAAGAAAACGCAAAATTTATTTATAACTTTGTAAACAAATGCAAAAATCGAAACAAAAAACGTCATAAAATTCGCGAAAAAAAAAAAAGCATATAATGCATACTTAATTTTTAAACAAAAACCCCAAGTATCAAATCCTCAAGAAAACATAAATAAATACTTGATTTAGAGAGAGGAAAGGCTATACTTGCCTTTTTGACGGGGAAACTTTATAAACCTTAACCTTTAAAAAGATCTTTTTTTAACTTAATCGACCTTAAAGTTTTTAAACGTAGGGAACAAAAAATTTGTAAATAATTTTGAAAAAAGTTCCTTTTTCCATTAGATTCATCATCCTTTTTTAATCTATATGGAAATTTTCATGCAAACTGGATTTATTTCAATACTTAGGCGATCTTACCTCGTTTGAAAAAACGTGTCTTCGGCAACTTTTTTAAACTAAAGTGGTCTCAAGATATTGATAATATTTGTGAAGCCATATAAACACATGGTACTTTCTATATATGGCTGAAAAGAGGTTGAGTACCATTTTTTTTGCAATTGATGCAAAAAACTTAAGGTGGTTGCTTAACTGCAAAAAAAGAAATGAGAGTAAAGTTTATAAATTTAAAGTTAAAGTTTTATAAAGTTTTTGGTCAAATTTTTTTATATAAAGTTTTTGGTCAAATTTTTTTTGTAGCGCCGCGGAATCGCTATATGTGGTACAGTTTTACATATTATATGTGTTTTATTTTTGTAATCATTTAATTTTGGTCCATACTCCATTCTTTATGCAAGTATAATCTTAACTTTTTTTTTACTATTGTCTTTTTCCTTATAGTATATACTAAAGGAAAGAGACAGTAGTAAAAAAAGTCAAGACACTTATTCACCTAGTTCAAGTTGTAGATTGTAAGTTACAATTGTTTGTGTATTGTTTAAGTAGTTTTATTAAATACTTTTAAAAAGCTATTATAAAGCAATACAAAGAAAAATGACCAATTTTTTAGAATAAAAAGATTAGTACTAACGTTTGGTTTAATATAGTTTAATAGTATTCAAAGTTACTTTAAAAGCAGGTGTAACTTTGAATCCTCATTTGAACTTTGTTTACATACAAAATAACTTGCAAATTAAATAACTGTATAATAATCTACAAAAAGAAGAAAGTTATGCAAAAATATTTGTTATCTGGTTTGTAAAAAAATTTATGTAGAGATAAAACTAGCTAATGGCAATTAAAGTTGCCTTAATATCTTTTATTTTCTGCGTTATGGCTTCGCAGGTAACTTTAATTGCCTTGTTTATTTTGGTGAAATTTGTTTAAAAATAAATAAACTAACAAGAAAGTAAGTTGATAAAAATTGTCAGCTCGGAATACAAGTATTGTATCGGTACTTTATTAAAATTATATATAAAAATGCAATTACCTAATTTATGTAAATTTAACATTATGCTAATTACGTTAATGAAACATTTTTTTTTGTATAACCTTATATCGTTAAGTTATATAAAAATATTTTTTTACATTTACATAACTTTAAATTTACATAAATTTATATACACTTTTAATAAATTTTTGATACGACACTTGTATTCCGAGTTGACGAAATGTTGTAACAAAAAGGGTTGCAAATTTTAATCAGAAGTGGACGACCTCTTAGTGATGAATTTAAAAACTTACGTTATGACGAGTTTATGTTTATAGAAACAAAATCAAAGTTTTACAGTGTTAGTTTAAATTTGAATATTGGCGAGGAAGAAGGCATAAAAAATTTTATGATAAGTTTTTATGATAAAACTCTTTATTTCTTTTTGAACTAACTTTTATACAATATTTCAAGGAAGTATAAATACCCTCGTTTTAAATTGTTGACCTCTACTTTTAAAGTATTTTTATTATTCCATGTAAAACTAAAATGAAAATTTTTTGAATGCTCCGCTATTGCTGAATAATCCCATTATCGTACGTATGTATTTTTCTGATGTTGGTAAAAGCGAGATGAGATTTTTAATTTTGTTTCACCGGTATAACATTTTTTGCAAAAGCATTCAAGTTTGCATACACCTGGTTAAGAATTTATAGTTTAAATGCTCTTAATAGTTTAGTAGTTATTAATGACTCTATAATAGCTACAAAAATTAAAATAATTATTTAAAAAAAGATTAGAATCTTCAGCCTTAACCAATAATGTTTAACCCTTTAGCGCCCACCAAAGCCTAAATTTTTCTTAAAATTCCGAAACCTTCAAAAACCAACTGTTTTAGGACCTAGATTATGAATAAAATAATAAAAGCCAAAAATCTCACTTGCAAAGTCAATTATTTAATTGTAGCATATCTGCAACAATGGGAATATGAGGAATTAAATTATAAATATAGTTTTCTTTAAAAAAAAGAGATTATTTTTAAATTTAAAGAACAAATTAAAGCAATTTAACAGAAAAATAAACTTTTACTTATGTTTTGAACTGACTAACTCTCTTCTATACAAATAAAAAACATTTTCAGCATAAATATACATTTACAGTAAACAATCGTTTATAATATAAATATAAGTTATAAAAACAAATCTTAAATGCCATTAATGGTAGTCATGAAAGCAATTTCTGTCTTTAATTAAGCATAGCCAAACATTGCACTTCTTGCAACAGATATAGGAAAAACCGGTTTTGCATTTCTTACATCGCTGACGTTTGTCACTATAAGTTGGTAAGTGATCAAATCCGTCTAACCGGATATCCTTTGTAGGATTACTCTGAACAGCAGCAGGTCTTTTGGTTGGTAGAGGTATTGCATCAAGTGATGGTCTTCCAGCTTTACTTTTTACAACAGCTATCAGGCTAGAAGCTACTGCAGCTTAAAACTTTTTTAGAGGAATGAATTTTTTAGTGGGGCAAATAATTTTTAAGTCCCGACGATACAAAAACCATGCATTTGATAACGCAATAAGAAGGGTATGTGCCCATATATATATATACCATCTATGGCATTTCAAATTTGGTTTGTAGAATGAGCACATCATATCCAGTTTGTCAACTCCACCCATATTTTTATTATAAAACTGGACTATGTAAGGTTGCTTTACCATAATATATTTGCGGGTTTTTCTGTCATAACGCCTCACTGTATTGATTTGTTCAATACTCGCAAAAGATGAAATTAAAGTTACTGCCTTGTTATCTATCCAACTAACAGCTATGTTATTAGAAATGGTGTCAGTACGGTAGTCAAATGATCCACGTCCTTGCTTTTTCAATTCTTTTTCTGAAGGCAATGAGCATTTGTTAAGGCGTTTAAGGCGTGCTGTTCCAACATACCATATTCGACGCTTTTTCAGTTCATCTAGCAAAGGCAAAGAAGAAAAATAACTATCAGCAAATATTTTAAAATTATGATTTTCTGGCAAAGTTGAGGTCATTTTGATTACAACAGATGCCCCAATACCATGAGGAGAATATTCATCTTTCTTTTTTATTTCTTTTCCTTGATATAAATCAAAGTCATACAAATACCCGCTGACACCACATCTACCCCAAAGTTTAAACCCCCACTTATTGGGTTTATTTGGGACATATTGCTTCAAAAATGACCTTCCTTTGAAGGCAACCATTATCTCATCAACTGATTGATTTTCTTCAGGAGAAACTTTTAAGAAATTTTCTCTCAGTTTTTCCAACCAAGGTCTTAATTTCCAGGCCCGATCATTTTTCTTTACTTAATCTGTTACTTTTAAATTGTCAACAAAGTGTAAATAGCGAAGAATAGAAAGAAATCTATTCCTTGATAATACTGAGCTTACTCCATCATAATTCATAAAGGTTTCCCAATAAGATCTCACTGATGGTAGTTTCACAAGACCCATACGAAAATAAACACCAATAAATGATTCTATTTCATTGGATGTGACACAAATGCTTGTACCTGATGACTGGCAACTATATAAACTAGATTGTTCAGCAAGAATGTCGATAAGATTGTCATCAACAAACATTTTAAAATATTCGTATGGAGTGGTAGTTTCATCTGGAATAGGTTCAATAGGTACTTCTTGAAAAGTAATATCACCAATCAAGTCATTATCAAGTGGAACTTTTTTCCAAAGTGGCAAAACTCTTAAACTCTTTTTATTTTTATTATTTTTAATTTTTTTGGGTGGAGGTGAGGTGTTGAAACAAAGCATATCATCGTCTGTACTGCTTTCTTGGGTAAGAGACTCCGAAATGGGTAAAGGTATATTGGCATTGTTGTTATCATGCACAATTTTATTACTGCTTACAACTGCAGTCGAAAGATCAGGTTCAAAATCAGAGTCTGACTCACTCAGATCCTCAAAATCACTTTCACCATCTAGAGTGTATGCTAGAGCATCTTCAATGTTTAATTTTTTATTTTTATTCAGCTAAAGAAAAGTAATATATGTATGTATGTGTATATATATATATATATATATATATATATATATATATATATATATATATATATATATATATATATATATATGCATATATATGTACATATATATATATATATATGCATATATATGTACATATATATATATATATGCATATATATATATATATATATATATATATATATATATATATATATATATATATATATATATATATATAAATATATAAATATATAAATATATATATATATATATATATATATATATATATATATAAATATATAAATATATATATATATATATATATATATATATATATATATATATTATATATATATATATATATATATATATATATATATATATATATATATATATATATATATATATATATATATATATATATATATATATATATATATATATATATATAGACATATATACGTACATATAAGTATATATATATTTACATATATATATATACTTTAAAGCCCATTGTAGCATATATGATACATATAAGTTCAGAAAGCATTTTGTGTTAGATTAAAAAAGAGTAAACTCATTTATATACTCATAAAACATACATTTGTTATCAATTTACAAGAAAATAAACAAAAAAGCTTTTAATATATATAAAAAACAGGAGAAAACTTACTTTAAATAACATTAGTTCGACCGCGATTAATCGATTTTTAGAAATACAATTTTGATGTGGTTTTTTGCCTTGAACATCCAATTATATGAACCTGGGAAAATCGGATCAACAAAATTATGTTGTAAATATGCTACAATGGGTGTTTTTAAGATCACTTTGTTGACAGGACAACTGTAAAAGGTTTTTAAAGTTATGTAGCTTTTGGTATACGACATTTTTGACATTTAGAAATTTGACCCACCCTCCACCCGTTTTTTGTCCTACATACTTTTATTTCCCTCCCCCATCCCCCCTAAAAAGTAGGTACGCTTTTTTAGTTTAGGAAAAGTGTACAAGAAATATTTTTTTATTAGAGCCTGCGTGTTTTAGAGTTGATCAAACCCCTTCCCCAATTACTTAATTGAACTTTTGCAGATCTTCCTTTCCTAATCTTCCTTAGATACATTATACAACTCCAAAACCCGTTGCATTGACACCAAACCCCAATTTTGAAGACATATGTCTTCAAAATTGGAAGCTGTTATCTATACTATCAAAACTATTTAACAAGTGCTTATCAGAGTCTTGTTTTCCAGTCTTCTGGAAAGCGCAACTGTTATCCCTATTTTCGAAAATTTTGAAGAGCCATCTGACTCGTCTACCGTCCTTTTAGTCTTCTTCCTATTTTAAGCAAGGTTTTTGAGTCTTTAATTAACAAACATTTTATGTCTCATCTTAAATGTAATAACTTACTTTCTGACCATCAATATGAATTTTGATCTTCTCGTTCTACAGCTAATTTGTTAACTATAACACCCGATATATTTTAGTGTGCATTAGATAGATGTGGAGAGGTTAAGGCAATTGCTCTCGATATTTCTAAAGCTTTTGATAAAGTTTGGCATGCTGTTCTTCTCCTTAAGCTTTCTTCTTACGGTGTATCCAGCATCATCTTAAAGCTTATTGAATCCTTCCTAACTTATTGTAGCATAAAAGTTGTTCTGATAGACAACACTTTTCTTCATGTCCTGTAACTTCAGGGGTCCCTAAAGGTTTACCCTTGGTATACTCTTTTTAATTTACATTAACGATCTCCCAGAAATTCTCACGTTTAATGTGGCATCATTAGGAAAGGTGTTACAAAATTTTTGGGTAATTTTTTTGGTAAGTAATTAAAAACACCCAAAAAATTTGTAAAATTATCCGACATGTAATATGTAACACTATTTATTTCTCTATTTTCAATAAAAGATTTCGGAAAAGAAGATTTAACTTTTTTTTTTAAAGGAAGGATGAAATAAAGAAAACTTCGTATAATTTAGTTAATAGAAAGTTTGTTTGCTTTAAACCATTCTGAAATTTTTCTAATTCATTATTTTATTGACAAAAATCTAAGTTGGAATAAACATATTGCTTATTTAGGAAGTAAAATATCCAAAAGCAATAAAAAATATACCAGTCACGTTACTTATTAAAAAAAATTAAACTCAAACAAATCTATTACAGCTTTGTTTAAAGTTACCTAAACTACGGTAATATAGCATCGGGTAGTACCAATAAAACTTAACTATCCCGTGGGCACAAAACGTGTTTAAAATTTTTAAGAAAACGTGTTAACATGTTTTAAAACGTACTTTAAACATCTTAAATACGTCTCGTGCCCACTGGGTTGAATCTCTCTATCGTAAACAGAGGCATGCTATAAGTGTGATTTATTTTAAAAATAAAAAAAAATATTCAAAACTAAGTTAAAACACCTGCTATAGTATGTCAACTTATCCGAATAAAATTCTTTATAATAAAGTACAATATTTCTAAGGGTTATAGATATACATACACATAGGGTATCTATGTGTATATACCCTCGTTATTCAAATAATATAAAAAAACTGTTATATAAATTTATAAGTAATATACCCGTTGCAAGAACGTATCACATCCAAGTTTTATTATTTGTAAATTTTTTTGAAGATTTTTTTATATTACTTGAATAACGAGAGTATATATAACCTTTAAAAATATTGTATTTTAATATAGAGATTTTAATTAGGATAAGTTTACATACTACAACAAATGTTTTAACTTAATTTAATTATATTAAAATTTATCTCAAAACCTCTTTTTGAACAAAAGTCTTTATTAACATTGTTTGAACTAAATATATATAAAGTACTAAGTCCTGTGTATGATAGCAAAAAAACTCCATCAATTTTCTGTAGTCTTTATAAACTAAAATCAGCTTAAAAGATTTATTGCGGATAAATGGTACCCTGTTAGAGCCTTCATGCAAAAACAAGCTTGAGCAACTTAAAACTAAGTGTACCACATATCTAGAATAAGTTTGTACAACTTAATTTAAATAATATTTTTTTAAAAAACTTAAATAGCTTTAAAAAAAAACTATTCAAAAGAGTACTTCAAAATATCAAAATTTAGCTACTGATATTTTCAAAATTTATTCTATGCATGCTTCTTAAAAAATTTCTTATTTTTTATTATATATAAATGTATTTTTAACATTGCATTATCAATAAATGTGTAAATTTTTGAAGAAAATTAAACAGACGTTAATTATGGAATGTTATCTGACATTTTTATACCATTATAATGTAATGATTTTATGTAAAATTTTTATGAATATGTTTTTATATTTATGGCAATGTAAAGCGGTTCTTGATGTTAAGGCCATTCGCTGCTTGCATCTATCTATTAATAGACATTAATTATGTTTGTTTCACATGTGTTTAAATGTTTAAAAATTCGTAGAATAACTGATTTAAGTTATAAATTTTTGGTTTTGCAACATTGGATTGTATACATTGTTTCAACGTTAATCCATATACATTGAATCAAAGTTGGGTTATATACATTAGATCAATGTTGATGTAAATGGATTGAATCAACGTTGGATTAGACACATTGAATCAACATTAGATTGTATCCAAAATAAATTTTGATATACGTTGGCCCAATGTAAGTGTATTGACTAGGATCATAATAGTTATTTTTATAAACTTAAAATTTATGGTGATAGATTCTAATTATTTTCAGCGACGTTGCGCAAAGTTTAACTCTAAAACCCCGTTTATTTTTTATATGTATATATAACTTAATTTAACATCTTAAGCGTAACATTATTTGAAGATAACCCTGATTTTTTTTTGTACTTATAAAGATACTACAATAAAAGTGCTAACCGTGCCATGTAGCGCATGGATGGTGTCCCTGTTCATATTTTTGGTGTGTGTGTTTTGAGGCTACATTCGGAGCCTTTGTTACGGTTTAGGGTTTATTAATAGAAATGAGACAATGGCTTGGACTATTAGATAGTGTACTGAGTACTATCTGTGCTTTAAGTCAAGTTCTTTAGTAAATTTAAAAAATCACAAAAGTATCAAAAAATATAAAACACACAAAGCCATTGTTATTATCAAGTTCTCTAAGTCTATCAATCACTAATATTTGTGGTCTTTAAAGTAAATTTTCTTCTGTTGAGTCTTATATCTTATATCTTGCAAAGTTCACCAGACCTACATGCTCTTTGTGGGACGAATTTTAGTTTAGCTGTCTCATCTTGTAATGAGACTGCTAAATTCAAATTAGATAACGTTAATGGTTATCTTCCTTTAATTCTTAAAAACTCCAATAGTAACATGCTTGGCCTAGGCATTTACATTTGTAAGAATTCACCAATTTATTGGAAAATTAAGTTTGAGTCCAATAATCATTTATGTATTTTTTTTTAGCTCCACTTCACTCTATCACTCTTTCACTATTTTCTATATTGCTCTCCTTCATCTCATGACTGCAGTCTTTTTAATGTTACTTCTGATCAAATTAACCTCTCTTTATCCTTCAGACAATAACGTTGATGTTGTAGAATTTATTGATCATCACACTGTATGGCTTGGTTCTAGTGTCAGTGACTCTGCAGGAGGTTAAGGCCCACAACTTTTGCCTTTCTTAATTTCTTATACAAATAGTCAACTTTCCAATTTGCTTTCTAAACAATTTGAATCATTTACTTTCTCTACTCAATTTATGTCTTGTTTCTGATCCTAGTCAGTGCTTAGTTTTTTCACATTTGTGAGTTTCTTTGTAGTGGCATTTAGGTAGAAATCTTTCTTTTTCCTGCTGACAAATGTGCTACTTATGTAACTTCTTGAATTCAGGCTGGCATGGAATCTTTTATTCTCACTCTACTTCATGGTTTTCCTCTCATTGTGTTGCTTCAATTTCCGATCGTAACCGTTGCTTCTGTATCTGTTGCCAAAACAATTTTCTGGAAAACAGACGGCTGTTTACTATTGCTAGAAACCACTGTAAAAAAGTTGTCTGACGCCAAAGCCCGCTATTCTCATGTCACGAAATCTTGTATTTCATCTTAAAAATTAGGCTCCCAAGGCTCTCGGAGAATCTTTAATAGTGTCTATAATAAGGGAAAATCTGTCATTCTACCTCTCTTACATGGTTTAGATTTTGTTACTTCACCTAAAGACAAAGCTGAGCTGTTTGCTAAACACTTTTCACCCATCTCATCTCTTAATTCCACTAATCACATCCTACCTGTTATAGCCGACAAACAGATTGATCCATTACGCTACATTCGTATCACTTCTGAATCTAAATTATTTTTCCTGCTTAGACTCTTCTACAGCTGGTAGTCAAAACAACATATCTGTTATGATCTTGCAGAAGTGTTCTCCGGAGCTGTTGTCTAGACTTTCAAAACTATTTAACAAGTGTTTATCAAAGTCTTGTTTTCCAGCAGTGGCATCTATTTTTAAAAATTCTGGATAGCGATCTGACTCGTTTAACTACCGTCCCATTAATCTTCTTCTTATAATATGCAAGATTTTCGAGCCTTTAACTTACAAACACTTAATCTTTTATATTGAATGTATTAACTTTCTTATCATCAATATGGATTTCGATTTTTTTGCTTTACTGCTGATTTGTTAACGTTAATAACCGAAAGATTTTATCATGCGTTAGATGATGCGGTAGTGGAGTAGTGGGAGCTCAACTTTTTTTCCCGCGCAACGTTCTTGTTCATCAAGGTTCGTGTTTTGGAGTTTTAAAGTTAAGAAAGGGTTATAATCACAATTAAGTAGTCTCCTCATCTGTAGTGGCCTTCTCGGCTATGGGAAGGTGAATTACAAAAAAACAAAAAAACAAAAAAAAAAAGAATAATAAGGAGAGGTTAGGT